GTATGTGTATGTTTGCGGATTTTTGAATTATCCTGAGAATATTTCGGCATTTACGAATGTGGAGTTGTAGTCGTCTGCTACATGAAAACCATGCTGTAATCTTTGACTATTTTATTTCTCTCTCTTTCTGCAAAGAATTGTTGTCAGTATCTGATATTTGCAACTTTACTACCTTTGAGTTGTATTCTGCTTCAGTGTTATACAGAACACAAGCAAAAACTCTGCCCCAATATAGATTACGCAATAACTAGCAATCACTTTCGTATTTAAATTTTCACAAAAAGACATGCCAAGACGTATATGTGTTTGACATGTCTTATAAGTCTGCAGTCACGTATGATATATACTGTGAATCAGCCGAACCTTGCGAAAATGTCCGGAAGCAATAATGCAGTATTGCAAATGTCCTTGAAACCTGAGTCATTGATCAGGGTGATGTATGATAATATACATAGTAATGTGTGCGGGAGTATGCTCGTACGTCCTACATTTTTTAAAAGGATACATGCGTTGGTGGATATTTAAGTCATCTGAAAATAAAATACTATTGGTCGGGAGTGAAGTATGATCTCATGGCGAAGTGAATCCAAAGATTTCGCCATTTCTTGAAATTTCATGTCACGTTTTTCGTAATCGACGAGGTTCATGTGTGCCTGCCCAGTCGTTATCATTTCGATACGCACTCTAACAAACACCCCTTATCAGCCATAGTCCTTATCTAAAACAGCCATCATCCATATATAGACCGTAGAAGGCGCACGAAAGGTACGACAACTTGGCCAGGCGCGCGAGAGTCCCTTCGCCCGTGTTAATTCCAGCCGAGCAGCCATTCAGTCTCGCGCCTCAACACAATGCGTATGGTATTTGGGCAACAATCTTTCTTAATCTTTTCACAGGCTGTTTACTGGTGTTACTTTAGGAATCCCAAGACTCTGCCGTCGTGATCTGTTAGAAATTTAGGTGCATAATAGTGAGGGTGTCTTTGAAATATGCCGAGGGATAAGAAGAACAAGCGTGCTGCTGCTGCTGCTGCTGCTACTGCTGCAGCTGCAGGTGAGTACCAAAAAACTTTTGTTCTTATGCTAACTTTATAGTTGTGACAGGGAATGCTGTTCATTAACAAGGAAGTTCCTTCTGCGACAAGGAAAACGGCAAAAGATGTGTTTAAACAGTAGCTTCTTTTGTGTGCAGTGGCCGCCAGCTGCTCTTGCTTTGTCTGTCGTGTCAGCTGTTCCTCGCTGGCACTCGCTCCAGTTGCATGCGAGAGAAGGGGGAAGGGATGTGCCCAGCGCCCGTTGGCCCTGCTCGTTCTGCTTGCCTGCTCGTGTCACTGAGAGACTGAATTTTGTGTCAGACAGCACCATTGGCTTCTAAATCGTATTTTATTGTAGCGATGTTACCTTGATTTTGCCGTGCTTCATTTCTTATATTTTACCTTGCTTCATTCCTTTTATTTTACCTTGCTTCATTTCTTTATTTTACTTTGCTTCATTCCTTTGATTTACCTTGCTTCATTTCTTTTATTTTACCTTGTTTCATTTCTTTTATTTTACTTTGCTTCATTCCTTTGATTTTACCTTGCTTCATTCCTTTGATTTTACCTTGCTTCATTTCTTTTATTTTACCTTGCTTCATTCCTTTTATTTTACCTTGCTTCATTTCTTTTAATTTACCTTGCTTCATTCTTTATATTTACGTTGCTTCATTCCTTTTATTTTACCTTGCTTCATTCCTTTTAATTTACCTTGCTTCATTCCTTTGATTTTACCTTGCTTCATTCCTTTGATTTTACCTTGCTTCATTCCTTTTATTTTACCTTGCTTCGTTCCTTTTTGTTCGCCCCTTTCTGACTTATCAGTAGATCACCATCCTCATCTGTTAACTCGGCACGGCACAAGACAGTGTCGTCCACGTAGATTTTACCATTCGGATTTCTTGTGTTTTGCAGCGTACTATTAGGGCTCTTACAGTTAACAGTATGAAGACATTATTTGATGTACAAATACAGTATTTGCTGTAGCTCTTTCAACTTTCATCTTTGACTGTTGAAGGAACAAATTATAGATATTTGTTTTAGCCAGCGTATAATTCTGTGGAAAAGAGCTATCTGATAGGATCCAATAGGATAAAATCCGGGATATTTAGCTATTCTATAGGAAATTACTAATTCATTTGTGTTAATTACATCTAGACATACTTGTGAATATATATCAAACTTAAGACTGAAGTTGTTGCACTTTTAAAATAACCAGATTATGTGTGTATTGAGTAGTGTTCTTGAACTATGGGGGAATTCTCACTGGAGCGTGGGATTAATTCATATCTCGCGAGGGGAATCAAGGCAAATGAATGGCAAGACCAAACTCCTTTTCTTATTACGTCTGAACTGATTACGGAATATGCATGATTTAAACCCAAACCTTTTTGTTTTTTGTCTTTTTCCTTATGTATTATTTTTACCATATTTACTTTGCTATCTTGAACATAACATATCATTTAACTTTGCGTTTACCAAAATATTTCGGTTAATTCACTCAGTTTTGTGTAAATATGAATTTGTAGAAATTGTACATTTTAATTCAAATTTGAAAACCTATCAGTAATTTTACTTTCCATTAGTCTCATAAGATTTAATTAGAAAAGAACCTTTGCAGCTATTGAAGAAGATATTAAAGCAAATTATCATTATTTTATGCGTATTGTTCAGACCAGAGCATAATGAGGAAGACGGTCTTTCAAAAGGGAATCTCATTCTGCCATATGGTGAGGTAAAGGGGTGAGTGGGAGCAAGAAATTCTGAGGATGTTATTTCATGCTATGTCTTAAAAAAGAAAAAAAGAAAAGAAGAAAAAGTGTTCCAATTCTAAAAGATGTAAATAACCAATGAATAATTTTTAAAAAGTTGGCATACACATATTTTACATACAGGTGTCAGACACATCTTGCCGTGATCTGATTTGCTTGCAGTGTTTGCATACGCACTACCAGGTTCTGCACTGGTAGTGTGACTTATTACTGGGATATGTCAGGTAGTCTATCTTACTGCAAACTTATGAACATTATATATCAGAAATATCTTTTGTTCCTTGCTTATGGTAATTGTGAAATTTTGTAATATCCGCCATATTTTGTAATGATTCCACATTTTTAGCAGTAAATTCAAAGTAAATGGATTTTTAATAGACTTAAATGAATATGAGATGATACTTAAATGGAATAGCTATATGGAGACTAACTAAGAAAGTCAAATATAAAGCAGAGAAAGAAATTGGTACATCACAGTTAAAAAAATAGAAGCACAATATATCGCTCAGAGTCCCTAAGCACATCTCATATTTTAGTCCAGCCTTCCCTTTGCCTAGCTGTATAAACTCTGCTTATGTATGTCAAAAAGTCTTGATTTCATGACATACACATAAAAAAGGCATTGTATTTTTTTTATATATTTCAAAATTTATTTAGTAAATGTACGTTCTAAATGTTTACTATGCGTTATATATCATGTACTTTTTTTGACAGTTCTTTTGTCACAGTATTCATTATGACTTTAGGAAACAAAGTTTATTGCCATTGGTACTTGTGTTTCCAAATTCTTTCACAATTTTCCAGTTATCAGAACAATGAAGGAGCATGGCAATCTCAGTGATATTACTAAAGTCAGCGAAGTACAATAATCGTGTTTTAGCTACCCATACCCATCGGTGATTAGAGAGTTGTCGCCTTCTAAACCACCCATGCACGCCATTACACATCACCAAAAGAAAACCCACTATACCGTCAGATAGGAAATGTTGTGATTAGGAAGGGGTTTAGGGATGGAGCTCCCAGCAAGGGAAACCTTGCAAATGGAGGCCCTGGCTCGGAAATTACAGTTGATTAGTTGTTGTTTTTTTCCTAGGTCCGGTATGTTTTTTTTCACATGCCAGTCTTTCTACGTCATTAGGATTCATTCCTTCATACAATGCCAGGTTGAATCCTCCGATTGAATCTTAGATTTGGGTTTTCCTTTATTTACATATTCTTTATCACCTGCTCCAAGTCTTGGATCACTACTTAGAATGCCTGTTACAGACAATTTCACCCATTTTCCTATACCAGAGACCCCTGGTTCGCCATGGCATCCCCCAAGATGGTTGACTATTATTTAGCACAAGGATCACAGTATGCTCCCATCAATCCCTTTCTAAAATCCTGATTCCCTGTTTGTCTTCCAAAACTGTAGAGGGTAGGAATAAAAAAAGGAAAAGCAAAATTCTAGTTCCTCTAGCTTTTATAACAAGTATGTAATTTTTTGTGATAACCTAATTTTTTGACAGTTCCATAAACCATCTTTCTTTGACAATTACCTGAGAGGAATGTGTTGCTCACATGTGTCAATTGTGGGACATTAAAAGATGGATATGTATGTGTGTGCATGTTTGTGTATGTATTATAGATAGATATAATATTTGTATATATAGATAGATAGATAGATATATATAGATAGATAGATAGATATAGATATATAGAGATATTGTAGATATGTATATATATAATATATAGATATGTATATATATAATATATAGATATGTATATATATAATATATAGATATGTATATATGTAATATATAGATATGTAATATATATATATAGATATGTAATATAGATAGATAGATAGATAGATAGATAGATATAGATATACAGATATATATATATATATATATATATATATATATATATATATATATATAGATAGTATAGATAGATAGATATATAGATATGTATATATGAATATATATATATATATGTAATATTATATATGTATATATATATATATATATATAATATTATATATATATATATTAATATATATATATATATATATATATATATATTATATATAGAGAGAGAGAGAGAGAGAGAGAGAGAGAGAGAGAGAGAGAGAGAGAGAGAGAGAGATAATGTATATATTATTGTGGCCATACAGATGAAATAAGTATTAGTCTCCATCCTGTCATGATGTCAGTTCCAATTTGATAACAGGGCCAGAGAAGAGTGTGATTTTGTAGGTTCTACCTAAAGGGTTATGCAGATAGCAGACAACAAATTATTTGTAGAAACACATATTGTTCTGTGATTTGTACACAAGAGAAATTTTCAGTTTCTTCTTTCTGAAACAAAGTTGTAACTACCATCCAGTTTGGGTCAATTCCATATGGTCCCACCAATTGGTTAGGGGGTCAGTTTGGGTATGCAGTTGTAATGTATTTTATGAATAGGATTACCATGGAGACCAGTTAGGGGACTGAGGTTGGGCTAAGGGTGAGGATATATTGCGTAAATACCAAAGGGATCTGCTCGGGGGGGGGGGGGGATTAGGTAGGGTATTTAGTAAAAAAAAAAAAATTGCAGTATAAGTACCATGAGGGTTAGTTTAAGTCTATGGTGGTATATATTACTGTACATTTTTACTGAAAGAAGGAACAGGTTGTAGACTTTCAAAAGTTGGTTTTTGGGTCCATGGACTTTCATTGATTCTGAGTACATTTGTAGGGTTTCATTTTCAAGTTTTAGGCATTTCTGTTTTGCCCCACGAATGGCCCCTCACATCAAGATGTATGTTAATCCACTGGATCCTGGTGACGTGAAAGTCGCTTCAATAAAAGATTAGGCCGGTGATGGATGACAGGAGAGTGTTTGAGTCTAGTTTCATTGTATACCTCATACATGCAAATGTACACATACTACTACACACTAAAATATCATCACATACGGCAATACACCTGGCAGCGGCAAACAGAATAACTTGTGATATGTGAGCGTGTTTTTTTTTAATAGAGGGTTATTTATGATGGAGGGTCAGCCAGCCAAAGTCCAACACAATAGTGGCACATTGCCAGGTGATCACCAAGGATTCTTCCTTTCATGCTCTAGGAAGGCCAATAAACCTTATATATGTGGCAGAATAAAAAAAAAATTCATATGACAATAAATGGTCAAGTGTACAGATTCTGTCTGGCAAGAATATATGTGGTGGAGGTTTGTTAACATTTTTCAGAGCTGACTGACTGATTGAATGATTTGTCTATGTGGTCAGGTACTAAAGATTTTCCTATACTTGTTATCAGGAAAAGTACACTCCTGTTCCTAGTTCTCAGTTTATCACTACATTGAGTATCTATGTCTTAATTGATTCATAAGAGAAATGTTATTGGCAAAGATTACTCTACAATTTGTAAAAGGAGTGTTAAGCTTCCATAGATGTGTGTGCTCAAAACATTAATGGTTCTTTGATATATATGGGATAGCTACTAGCAATAGGGTATCATTTTGTCATGCATATATGACTACCAAAGTGCAGGGGTAAGTAAGGTAGTGGTATCCTGGGACAGAAATGTGTGTTCCAATAGCTATATTGTATTAGCCTGGTCTAAGCTGACTGCCCATCATTGAAAAAGTAGGAGAACTGCTTCAGACAAGTTTTCAAGGACAAGTAACTGGTCACTGGATTATAGGAGCACTTAGTCTGAGGACCAAACAGAAAATGATAATAATTAGTTTTATTCCATTTGTTACAATGGTTATTCTTTGTGTGACGTCTGTCTGTTTATATTTGCGTTGAAATTAGACCATCTATACAAGGAATGGCTACCACTATGGTGAATAAAAATATGTGTGTGTGTGGGGGGGGGGGGTATGTATGTATGCATACATGCATGACCTAAGGGGAGGTCAGAACAGTACTGCTTGTGTGGTTTAGCCTGACATATAGCCAGTACTTTCATTTTTCTACTTTTTTTGAGACATATTTTGTGCCAAAATCCAAGAGACATTTAAGCAAGGTTTTTTTTTTTTTTTTTTTTTTTTCTGGCATAGTACTTCATGGCAGTTCTTAGAAAAGATATGAGCATTTTAGATATGGTATTGTGCAAAGCCATGTCAATTTCATGAAATATCTGAATGTCAGTCACACCTAAAAATTGTTACTATTGTTGCTAGATGGATCTACTGCATAGGCCTAGCTCTATATGAAGTGGATAGAAATTATGATCACAACAATGAAATCATTGACAACATTGCTTCAAACTGAAATAAGATGTTATCAGCTATCTTTGAAATGGCATGATTGTGTGTTAGGGATATGTAAGTCAAGAATATACTCTTGTTGGATTGGGATATATTGAAAGTGAAAGTGAACTTGGATGTGATGGATGGTTTCAATGAGCCTGCCATATGGTATTGTGAGTGTCAACATGATGCAGACTGAAGCTAGGTAAAGATGACACTGCTTGTGTAGAATGTCTCCTAATAAATGATTGTGTCTTATTTCATGGATGGCATTGACATTTTCTATGACTCCTCTCCCTTGCTGCAACATGACTTCCAACACCAGCCACAGAAATGTTCCATTGTCTTGAATGCGGACACCCCAGCAGGACAGTCATAGCCTCATCAACCAAATCACGCTCGCCCAATCAGCAGGGGAAGGTCTGGCTTAATCAGGGAGGGAAAGGAAGAGAGGGTAGAGTGAGAGAGAAAGGGAGTGAACAAGAAAATGGGAGTTAGAAATAGGATGAGATATGAGAGAGGAAGAAAGAAAGAGAACAAGGGAGTGGAAAAGGAAAGGAATTTGCAGTTAGGATGTGAAAAGGGAAGAGGGATTGAAAAGCAAAAGGGGAGTTATGAATAGGACAAGAAATGGGGAGAAAGAGCAGAGGGAAGAGAGACAAGTGATATATATATCTGTGTGTGTGTGTGTGTGTGTGTGTGTGTGTGTGTGTGTGTGTGTGTGTGTGTGTGTGTGTGTGTGTGTGTGTGTGTGTGTTTTCTATCTAAAGATAGAATACAAGTTCCAAGAACTGAAAGATTATGTAGGCTGCAGACAAGAACTAAAAGTTTATGAGGGCTGCAGACAAGAACTGCAGATTATGGGAACAATTTGTTTTTACTTCCAGCCACTGAAACAGGCTGATAGTGCCACATTAGTGCACTCTTAGGTGCTATTGAGTGTTAACCTCCCCCCCCCCCCTCCCATGGATCCAGCTGCTGCTTTGACAAAATCAGGGCTCACAAAATTGGCCACTCTGATGGATGTATGGCTTGTAGGCTGGGCAACACGAACACTTGTGTATGAAGACTGCATGCCTCCCCTTTGCAATGTTATTTTCTCTTTTTTGCTCTTCTTCTGCTTAATATTTTAGCTTTTTTGCAGTTTTACTTAAAATGTGTATATTTGTCATTTGATATCCTTTATCCAGATGGGAATGGACTGTTTTCCTGTATTTGTGTGTGTGTGTGTGTGTGTGTGTATTTGATATACACATAGACTATATGGGTGAGCAAACTGCTAGATATCATGATTGCAGTCCACCTTAGACCCTTTTATAATGCATTGCAATTGGAGGTGTATCATCATTCATCTTGTTTGGAGCAGAGGACGACTGTGGCCAGTTCTTTAGAATATTCTGATATGTAACTCGAGCTACAGCATATAATTTATATAGCTAATCTCGGGTTGATATTGGTTCATTTACAGCGTCCTTATGTTGGCTAGATGTCTTGTTTGCACTAAGGAAATGGAAAATTAATTTCTGTCTTGTTTGTCCTATACTCAATGTACACCCATTGTTGTTGAATCTGTGCCATTTCTTCAGAATATTTTATGCTAGTGGAGATGTTTTCCTCAAACTTCTTAGCTGACACAATATTTCTTTCTTTCTTTCATGTTGGGATGATGATTCACATGCAAGATAATTATCAGCAAGCACTAGTGTACACTCAGTGTTTCTTAACTTTATTAAGAAAAAATTGTTGTTATTTTTCATCATCTTGTTGCAAATTCCAATGTAATAATAACAAATCCTGAATAAATATAAGTGTATTATGAAGGGTAAAAGGTTTTATTGTTAAGTTGGAACATATCTTGTCTTCCTTGTAGAAGGGGCCAGGAATGGTTAGATTTTCTCTCTCATATTTTCTATGTACTAATTTTCAGTACAAATATAACGTGTCTTTGTGATTGGAATCCAAAATAGTTTTCTAACAATTTCCTAAAATTTGTGTTGTTTTCAGCATTGCCAGTTGCAGATGATGATACTGCAAGCATTACCAGTGACAAGACAGACTCCACAGCTCAGATTACTGATGGTATGTATTATTTTGTGGTGGAAATTATCAACATTTGAGCCCCATTATGAGGGAAATTTTGATGCCAGTCATTTTGAGATTATTTGGTAATTGTGTAATTGCAGTAAGAAAATGTTTTATGGAAGAAGAAATTTTCCTCTTTAGAAATATTTGTTGTGTTAGGTAAAGAATCTCAATTTTGTTTGCAATTAGTTTTTGCAATGAATCTCCTTAAATTATTTTGGAATAACAATTTTTCCTTTAGTTAAGATTTGGCCTAGTTTTACAAAATAGTATTAAGGATGCATCACTTTTTTCTCTATATTAGGAGAGGAAGGTCTGTCGGAGATGGAGACCTATGAGCAGAAAGTGCGTGAAGCAATGGACTTAGCCTTGGAGAAGTCTGTTCAGACTCGCACCAATGCCCTAACAGCTTTAACAACCGCTTTCCAGAAAAGGTTTGCTTTTGATTTTGGTGTGAATCCGTGTGATACCTTAATCATTATATGAATATTCTTATGTAAGTGATTTTAGTTTTATGTTAATTCTTTTTCTCTCTCCCCCAACCTGATTGCATCCAGGGTGATGACGCAATTTCTGCTTGACAACTACCAGACAATTACCGACTTAGTGGAGCGTTCATTGAGGAAGGGTCGAGGTCCCGAGCAAGTGGCTGCAGCACGTCTGGCCACGACGCTGGTTGTTAGCCTCTCACCTGTCGCTGAAGCTGAGAAGGTGTGTTTTTGTCATTTTCTTCTATAAAGGTGTGAGGTGTGATCTTTATGGGAGTAAAAGATTATGTATATGGTTCTAGCTGTGATATTTGGAAGTTCCATTAACCTAGTGCCGATAGGTAAAAATGTTTGGCAAGTGAACGTAAGAACAGGATTGGTGGTGCGCATCGGCAGTTTCTCCTGTTTGCGCCTGGCTCGATTGGTAGTCTGCGAGGGATATTTAGCACCTAAAAGTTTTTATTTTGTTATGATTTATAAAAATATTAAAATTTTGAAGGTTTATCTTCATTATAGGTGCCATTGCTTAAAATCTTTACCATATAAATGAAGCTGCTACTATCGGAGAAAAACAAACTCCATCCGACGAGCCAGTGGCACGGGAATGGACATGATATGATGCCATTCGTGTCCACAACAGCCATGGCATGTACGTACATGCCACCCATCGGCTATGGATTAATTTCAATGTATTTTACCAAGTTAGAATTCATTTTTTATTTGATGGTTTTATTTGTATTAATATATGTATGGACACAGATAAATCTTTGTTATTCCTTTTGTTCTCTGTAGGTTTTCAAGACCCTAAACCCGATTCTGACAGTGTTGGTGACAGATCCCTCTGCTGCAGTGGCAGCACGGCAAGATGGTGCATTAGCAATGGCTTTATCAGCATTTTTAGCATGCCATGATCTTGCTGATGTTACTGCTGCCATGAACACTCTTCATACTCTGTTTGCCGGATCACTTCCAAAGGTAATAGTTGGGAAGGGAAGAGGTTATATCAATGGTTTGCAAACCCTTGATTGCATGCCAAGTGAGGGTCAGACAGATTGTGTCTCAAAAAGTTGAAATAATGCAGGTTTATATCATTTTTAGTAATGGACATTTGTTATTCCTTTTGATGGGTGAAGTATATGATTTGACTTGGGTTATTTGATCAGAAAAGCTGTATTCAGATGATGATAACTTTTGTGTTTGTTATTCCTTGTAAGACATTTACATTTAACTGAAAAATTAAAGTACTGAAAAACTGTTCTAATACATTTTTCTTTCTTTTCTCTAGGGTAATGGAGAATTACCCAACCATCCTCCAGCAGTGTCTGCTATGCATACAGCAGCCCTAAATGGTTTCTGTTTGTTGTTGTGTCTCTTGTCACCCACAACAATTTATACAATGGCTAACAAGTATGTTGTTCCTATTTATTGTTTAAAAGTGATGAAAGAGTTTGTGATAGGTGAAACAGTTGCTGTCATGGCCTGGAAATCTTTCAATCAATGTCAGGGAATGCTGGGTGTTAGTGGTGACAGTGATGTTGATGGGCCTCACTAAGTTTATCTTCCTTATGTTGTTATTAGTGGTTCCCCAACATTTTCGAGCTAAATTCTCGACATCAGCCCTTTGAAAGAAGTGATAATCTCAGCATACATTTAATCACATGGTATATATAATGTTGTTTAGCAAAAGGATGCTGAGCTGTCTACAGGCTTGGGTAGACTGCATCCTAGTAATGCAGTTTCTACAACACTTGCCTCCACACTGTTTCCCGTGCTCATGGCCAGTCACATAGTCTTACTTATATGTATTGTAGGCACTTTGCTGTTACATGTGACTTTGCATGTTACTGTATCTGTTGTTGTACATGCCAACCATTTAGCAGTTCTTATTTTTCTCTCCCGCTAACTTAAAGGCTATGTGATGTTATTATTCCCATCCATGCCTTTCCTACAATATTACATGAAACTAATATACATCATTGTTTCATTGGCTTTTTGGTGTGTACTGTCAGGCATTTGATCTTATATGAACTGATATAGAGATTAATCTCAATAGAAAGTGGTAAAGAAAGATTAAAACTTTTCCTTTGTCATTATTGATGTGATTCCTTATCTCTTTCTCCAGATTAGTGAAGGAGATGTTTGATCTTCTGGGAAGTAGTGATTTGGATCTACGTATTCAGGCAGGCGAAGCTGTAGCTTTGATTTATGAGACGCTCGAATACATGATGAGAGATTACTCCTGGAATCGAGAAGCAGATCTTTGCTCCGTTCTGAAAGGTAATTTTACCCATTATGTCCATTTATTTCAGGTTTCAGTGGAGATTTAGTTTAATTCTTGGTAATAGTTACGTAGTCCATGCTTCAGCAACTTAGTCAATTGTACTTTTAAAAAATTATTCTCCTTAACACTAAATACAAATAAAAAATCTGATGATTATCTCTTATGCTCCTTGAGGTTTGTCTTAGTAGCCAAAGTTTTACATAGAGTAATTTTAATAGTTTGAGGTGCTAGAAAAGGAAAATAATTTTAGAGTGGATTCCATTCAATGCAAGACAGGACATATGACATTTTATGAGAAAATAGGTCAATATCTAAAAAAAAAAAAAGGGGGGGGGATTATAGATTTATGAATATAAACTGAACACATGCCAGATCCTCAGAAAAGATAGCAAATGAAAATTTAAGTCTTCTTTCTTCTCTCTTAGAATTAGCTACAGATTCCCCCGGTTCCGAGCAAAAAAGGACCGGAAGCAACAGAGAGCATCTTTCAGGGATGTTGTGAGGACAGTGGAAGAAGGGGAACAGCTGTATGAAACAGTGTTTGTAGGGCCACAGAATCAACGCCAAGAACTGATCCTTGATACCTGGTCACTCAAGTGGCAGTACTCTTCCTTATGTCACATCATAGGGCAAGGGATAAGTGTTCACATTTCTTACAATATTGGGGTAAGTGAAGTCAGTACAAGATATTGATATACATTATTATTGTGTGCTTGCATCAGTTACTCTGTCATTTTCATCTGTCAGCACTGCTTTTCTTGTTACCACGAATCCCCTAAGTATTACTTGTTTTCTCAAAATATAAAAGCAGATATTTGTGCTTTACATTTTTAATGTTTAATATAATTTGACTGGCACATAGGAAAAGCATTAAGATTTTTTTTCAGTGATATGCATATGAATTTAGGTAAATCAATGTAGCCTCATTCTGGTCTCCCAACAGGAAAAAATAGCACACAGAAAAGAAAAAATGAAATGCATTAATTCGAATTAGTGAATACTTTAACACCTGGTTTTGTTTAAATCCAGTGTCTTGACAGCAAAATGGCAAATAGGGTGCTTAATATTATTTGGTAAAACAAGTCTTCATTATTTTTCAGATACGTGACATATTTGCATTGGGACCACCACCAATTCAAATGGACCATGGAATGGCACTGCTAGCAAGGAAAACCCAAAAAAGACCAAACCGGGAAATCTCCAGCCAGCAAAGCTCGACAAATGGCACGCAACAAGAACGTGACAATAGACAGGCAGCCAAAGTCTATGAAGATTAAAACTTTCTCTGTTATATTTTTGTATCAGTTTAAATCAACAAATATCCATTTATTCTCAGAATGCATCTTTATGTTGTCCTTTCTTCTCTTTCTTCTGCTTTTGAATGGAGCAGTGGATTAATGTGTATGCAGATGGTTTTTCTTTAAGGATCACTTATTTTGTAGTTTTCTGAAGTCTGACGACCTAATGCTTGGGGACGGAGACTAATTTGTTTTTATGCAAATTTATATGTGAGGAAATGGATGGAGGAATATTTGATATCTCTACAGACATACATAAGTGTATGTGCGTGTATTAAATACAAATGTAGTCAATACATACTATCATACACAAATATATCTGTACTTAGATTTTTTTTATTCCTTTCTGTCTTCAGATATTTGTAGGTCACCCTGTGAATAGAAAAGCAGTGAAACAGGACTGAAATGAATTTACATTTCTAAAAGATGTAGTATATAGATGGTTTTGTAGCAAATAATACATACACACATGATTTTCCTTACTATTCCTTTGTTTCACTCATGCTTATTTTTTATAAGAAATGTTGATCGGAAGAAATGTTTTTCATTTCAGTCTAGGGAATAGACTAGTATATACTTTCATATAAGTCATTTCATGACAATTATTTTATTTGGAAATATTCTATAGTTTCACTGTATGACTTGTTTTTTTACATGAAATTGGAGGGATGTTTTTTTGTGTGTTTGATGCTGGTTAGACCTAAAGATGATCCTATCCTGTTCAGTTCTTCATTCTTTTCCATGATTTGGAGCATCTCCTTTAGTCACGGGGAAGCTTCTAAAATTTCTTGGTTTTCCCTTTCCCAGTGATTATTCAAATGATGTTTATAGAAATATCTTTGCAACCATGCCTTTGCTATTAATATATATTTGCCCTTTGTGATGTAGTAATAAAGTACCAAGAGCAATCATGATTATCTTTGTCCCTAGCTTTAGTCACTCACTATTTAACCCTTAAATGGTGGGTGGCATAAACATAACATCCTTGTCAAAAAGGGCAGGTGGGATATGTTCAACTCTGAGACGGATGGTATTTTTCCTGTTGAGGTCACCCTGCCGCTGTTTAAGCGTTAATTTAAAAGATAAGAAAGTGGATATTGAATTTTGTGTACTTTTTACTACACACCTAGACAAAAAAAAGGATGTAAGGATGATTGATTTCTCAAGTTTAATTTGCATTTCTAAAAGGCTTTTCTATAACTTTTTTTTTTTTTTTTTTTTTTTTTACATATTCATTTTTTTTTTTTTTTTTTTTTTACAATATTCCAATCTGTACCATCAGTTTGATTTATGAAGGTCAGTGGCCAATATGAGCTTAACTTAACACATAAAGTATTGGACCATATTAAGTAGAAATATTACAATATTAAACTTTGTTATACATTCATATGATAGTGCAGTTTTAAAGAAATTAGAATCATGGAGGTCCCTGTCTGGAGCAAGGTGAAATATAATTCCAAAATAACCTCAATATTATAAATTAACATTCTACTACCATGCTCATGATGCATATGGTACATCATGGGTTGTCTATTTGTTTTGTAGTATGGGATTATCAAATATTTATTTTTTGAGTCCGTGTTAATCAGTATGTGCACACTATAAAATGCTTTTATCTTTAAATAGATTGCATAAACTTGTACCGATAGTGTTCCAGCTGCACATTTTAAGCAAAGCGCTTTGGTGCATTCAGTATAGGATGTGCAAAAAGTCTTGGAGGTAGATAACAGATGTTATAGATAAAAGGATATGAAGAGGTCAGGTCTGTGATAACAGAAACCAGAATATTCCAATGTAGGAGAAGCTAAAATTTAGTTGTTCTATGAGTGATACGGTTACAGTGCGTGTTGGAGAATTTAAAGGGGAAGGAGCTAGGGGTAAGATAAGGAATTAAGGGGGAGGTATTATCAGGAGGGCATCCATAGGTGGAGGATCTGGGAAGGACATAGTTGTGACATAGGGATTCACGTGTGTACCCAGGAGGGAGTGGAAGAGATAGAGGGGATGGAGGGAGGGTTAATGTAGGTGTAGTTGGAGCTGATGGGGACAGGCTGTGTTTGGAGGGAGTAGGAGTAACAGGTGTAGGGAGAATATGAGAAAGAGGGGGATGGATATCAGCAGTCACTTTGAGTGGAATTTGAGGGTGGATGAGGGTTTTTGGAGTCATTTTCGGACTTGAGCAGATAGTTTTGAATATCTGGAGTGGAGAAGTGGACAATAAGTAAAGTAGTAATAAGGAGGATGGTGTGATTTATGAAGAACTGAGATGTTGAGAGAGTAGGAATGTTTCCTGGAGATTGAATCTTGACTTGGGTGGATAATGTACTAGTAGGTATTGAGGAGTGGGTAGTTTTTGCAGTGTTCAGAGTCATGGTCAAAGAGAGCCTGGGATGGGGGAACTGGGAGAGTTTGAATTGGGGCTATTTGATGAAGGCGCAAGCCTCATTGCTCCTAACAAGGATATAACATCTTCATTAATGGCCATGGTAAGCCTAGACTATGTTGGGGAAAGAAACACTCCACCCTCAGGGTCCCCTTGAAGGGAAAGGGACAGACATCTAAAACAGGGGAATACCATGCCCATGGTTCCTCAGGCCATTCAGGACTGGCATAAAGTCATCCTTTCATCCTTTCAGCAAGCTCTCCTACCTTAGGAAGTGGATAGCAGAAGGGGTTGGAGATGGGATGGAAACAAAAAAGCAGGAGGGGAAAAACACACATGCAAAATTAGTTGAGTCGAGGCTGAGGTCCAAGGTAGGGGATATCTCCAACATCAGGTTCCATCAGGACTGTGTTTTTGGAGAACTAATGGCATCACAGAAAGTATAAGAAAAACTCCACAATAAAGTTATATCATTTATACAGAAGGTGAAATTGCATTTATTGTATCAAGAAAATATTCCCTTTTCTTTTAACAGAATATTTAATTTTGTTCACATGGAAGATATATATAATTACCTACATTTTATTAACAAACAGCTTAAAATGAATACTCTAATCTGGCTTCCAAAGAATCTGAATATTCCCGTTTGTTTTTGCTATCAGAGAGCATAAAATTCACAAAGACCTGCTCTATGTCATTTCTAGTGACAGTACACAAAAATGAAACTATCTTAATAAAGCAAATTATCATATTTCAAAGCTGCTGCTGGTTTTTCCCTTCAACCTAAAGTACATTCATAATATGGCTGATAAGCAACTCTTTACTTTCTACTCTAGTCCATAATAGTAAATAAAAAGACCTAAAACTCTGTAAAAAAATTATCTGAATATATATATACATACATCACTTCCAGGTTATATATTTGTGTTAGCATATTTACAGAATATTGGTGGGAAACTCCTCCAGTATATATATTTAGAACTCTGGCTTGGAATCTGACGACTGCATCTGTTGCATCATCTGAAAAAGACAAATATTTAATAATAATAATAATAAAATATATAATAATAATAATGATAATGAAGAAGAAATATATAATAATGAAGATAATAAATGATAATGATAATAATGATAATGATAATTATAATGATATATAACAATCATAATAATTATATAATAATAATAATTTTTATGGACCTGTTTCTATTACTTCATCCACATAATCCCATGTATGCACAACTTGTGACATATTAAAAAAATCTCTTGATAAAATAAGTTGAAAGCATTATTCTACATAAAAGATTATTCTCTCTCATCTTATACGTTGTTTATAAATCTGAATTTAATCTACACTTTAACACAAATTAACTCTGATTAAAAGAATAATTTGAAAAATAACGATATAAAAAGGCTGATAAAAGTTATATTTATAATAATAATCCAAAAATTCACCAACTTACCGAAGTTATTTTCTTAAGCTATTGGGGGAGCTGCGACAGCTGCTGTAGCATGGACTTGAGATGTGGTTCCTTTTGTGGGGTTTCACCCTCTCCTGGTTTGGCTGTTAGATACGGGTGTTTAACAACTCTGAGATGCTAGGACGTTTTCGCTGATCAAATTGCAAGCACAGCTGCAACACCTCTAACAACATTTTATTCTCAATTTCGGGGAAGTTTACTTTCGTATTAGGATCAGAGATTGCCGACAGCTTTTGCAGGGGGTTGCTTATATGCTGGAAGGGTGTACGGCCATATACCAGATTATACAAGATGCAACCTAATGACCAAACATCAGACTTCACACCAATCTGAAAAAAAGAATAATTCAGTAAGTCAGTAACGAGTAAAAGAGAAAAAGAGAGAAGAGAAAGGGAAAAGGGGGAGGGGAGGGAGAGAGGGAGAGGGAGAGGGGAGAAGAGAGG